GTCCAGAAGAAGCAAAAGCTGTTTCCTCACACAATGTATTGGGAAAAAATTGTTTACCAAGCAAACAGGAGAAAAGGGCAGAATTTGCAATCAAGTTTTGGTTTGTGAGCGAAGATATCCCAGGAGAGAATACTACTTTGCAATAACAATGGAAAGGTCATTTCAAGTGAGTAACTGTAGTCATGATATATTTAGGACGATTTTAATACATTCAGTTTCAGAAGTTGATTATTCTGTTTATATGTGTCATAAGCACAATACTTATTTAGTGTCATTTTTTGAAAATAGCATGGTTAATGCTATAAAGTTTAATATATATTACCGTGGCAAAAAAAAGTTATAGGCAAAACCCTGCTGTAATAAAATCCACAGGATTTTTAAATTGTTAATTTGCTAAGAGCACCTTAAATCATCTTTAGATTTTATAGACTGAGAAAATAATTTCTAACAGAGTAAAATATCTAACCAAAGAGAAAATCCCAGTAAGAGAATGTGTATCCCTGGCTTCATCATTTTCTTTTTCATCCTGTTGGTATTTTTTATAGTTTGGGGTTTCTTTCACTAGATAATTTGGTACTTGATAGGTTGGAAGGTAACATTCAATAAAAAACGATATGATTCTAAGGAGCATAACCCTAGTTATGCTTCCCTCTCTTAATGGAACCTAAAATGTTGATTGTGAACTTAAGTCATCAGATGAAGAGAAAGCTTTTCATAGACCTGGTGCTTAAAGAGGACATTGGTAAGCATTTTGTACTGTAAATATTTGGCTTTTTGCATGCCTTGGTTAAGTTTTATGAGCTGAGTCTGTGTAACTAGCTTGTCTTCTGGTATAAGCTAGATATGTATTTGGAAGCCCTGGTAAGGATTTGCTATAATCAAAATTTTAAGTCATGAAAATATTTTTCTTATATAAAACAGCTTTTTAAAAAATAGTTATTTTCTATATTGTGATTTTTATTCCTATAGTTAATTAAATCTCCTATTAATGTTTGAATGATATTTTCAAGTGTTTTTGTAACTTTTAAAAGAGTATTTCTTAAGGTGACATTAGACAGTAGTAAAAACTACTCAGGATCTGGTATAATAAAAGGCTAATATGCAAATCGACTGAACGGCAGAACGACCAGTTGCTATGACACGCACTGACCACCAGGGGGCAGATGCTCAACACAGAAGCTGCCCCCTGGTGGTCAGTGTGCTCCCACAGCAGGGAGTGCCACTCAGCCAGAAGCCCTGAGCCAGGCTCACAGCTAGCAAGCTCAGTGGCGATGTTGGGAGCCTCTCCTGCCTCTGCGGCAGCGCTAAGCCATCCCCCGAGGGCTCCCAGACTGCAAGAGGGTGCAGGCCTGGCTGAGGAACCCCTCTTCTCCCCCCCACCCCCGTGAACGAATTTTGTGCACCAGGCCTCTAGTATAAGATAAAAAGCACTGATGTCTTTACCTCTATAGGTGTCTCTATATAGTAGAATTTAGTTTTGTAAGTTATTTTAGAAATCTCATGACAATATCCTTATATATTACACACATTTGCAAAAATTGTATTCACTACATTTTCATTTCCTTTTTATATCAACATCTATCATTTTGTTACTTATTATGTTTTCACTTTTGGTAATAGCCAGAAACAAGGTATAAATGCCTGAACAATTTGAGATATGAGTCCCATTATGTTGTACATTCAGAGTAGCTCATATTGATTGCAGTAACTGTAGTAAATTGAATCTGCATTATTAAAGATATTATAATACTCTTAAGTGTATTTTATTAAAGACATATTAACATTAGGGGAAAGGATGAAATTTGAATTCATTTTAAGAACTTGAATAATCAGAGAACTATTTTAGTCTCATTAAGGAAATATGTTTTTATTTCATTTGCAAAAGTATCGCATAGTTGTAATAATCCAGACTAAAAATTTCATCGTACTAGTAACACCATTTGGCCAAAGATATTATAATGTTAAAATAATGTGGAGTTGGTTGGTGTTACTTTTCGGGATATAGTGAATTGTTTTTTTGAATCCCTGTGGACAGGTCCTTATTAAACAACAAAAAAAATTAGCTATTGATAAAAAGAGCATTTTTTATTGAATTAAATTCCTGTGCATAGGAGTTAACTGATTATTAAAAGTTGCTTTTGTTGTTTATCTGTTTTTAGGTGATGAATCATAGGTTTCTTTAGTGTGTATTCCGTCAGGAAGCCTGGGGCAGATACTACCATAGAGTTGGTGTTCTAAGAAAAATCAATTTAAGTACCTACTCTATCTTGGCACTTTTTAAAAGTCAGATTTCTTAACATTTGCTCAGTGCCTGTTGTATACATTTCTAATTTAAAAGGTCACATTTGCTACTTTATTTTTCTAGTAGAACATTATAATCTGCTGTAAATTGGTAGTACTATATCAATTTTTTATTTTGCCTGGAATAGATATTAAATGTGTTATAAGAATTATATATTTTATTTTTCATGTTTTTACTTTTTTAAAAGAGATCTTTATTAAGTGGCTTCTTTGTCATGTAATTTTAAAGTCATTTTAAGGCAAACCTTTCTTCAAGCTAAAAGAGAAGGGAAATGTAGGCTAAGAAGGTGAAAATAGAATTATTAATTTATTTGAAATTGTAACTGTTTGCTACAACTTAGATTGTTCTGAAAGTTTATTACTAAAATTTAAAAATCAGATTGTTTAAATAAAAACAGCTATTCACTCAGCAGTCATGATAGAATTCAGAACTGTAGTCATTTTTTAACTGATCTCTATTTAACCCATGTAAACTTTCTTCTGACCAGCTGGTTACAAATTTTGGGGTTTCTTTCTAATTTGTCAGGGAATTAGTACATTAAAGCCTATTTATTCATTTTTTTATATATTATTATTTCATATGTATTTTTTTTAGCTTTTTCTTTAACTTATAGCCAACTCTTAGAGATCTAATCATTACTTTAGTGAGAATTTTATATTATCTTTTTTCCCCTAGAAGTGTTTCCTTCTGTATAGATATAAGTATATGTTTTTATTGTTGATAATATTACAGATGTCTCCCATTTCCCCCCATTTATCCCCTTCCTTCCAGCCTCTGCACACACTCCCAGGTCTTCACTACCCTGTTGCCCGTGTCCATGGGCTATGCATATAAGTATATAAGTTCTTTGGTTTATCTCTTCTCATTCCTCCATTCCCACATCAATGTATGTCAATTTGTTCCATGCCTCCATGCTTTGGGTCTTATATTGTTGGTCAATTCATTTTGTTCATTAGATCTACAAATAAGTGAGATCATGTGATATTTGTCTTTCTCAAACTGGCTTATTTCACTTAGCATAATATTCTCCAGGTCCATCCATGCTGTTCCAAAGGGTAAGAGATCCCTCTTTTTTACAGCTGCATAATATTTCATTGTGTAAATGTCCCACCGCATTTTTATCCATTCATCTACTGATGGGCACTTGGACTGTTTCCAAATCTTAGCTATTGTAAATTGTGCTGCTATGAACATAGGGGTGCATACATTCTTTCTTACTGGTGTTTTGGAATTTTTAGGCTATATTCCCAGAAATGGGATCGCTGGGACAAATGGCAGTTGCATATTTAATATTTTGAGGAAACTCCATACTGTTTTCCATAATGGCTGCACCAGTCTGCTTTCCAGCCAGCAGTGTACTGGAGTTCCCTTTTCTCCACATCCTTGCCAACACTTGTCATTTGTTAATTTGTAATGCCCATCTTTGAATTGGATTGTTTGTCTTTTTGTTGAGTTGTATGAATACTTTATATATTTTGGATATTAATTCCTTATCAGATGTATTATTGGCAAATATGTTCTCCCATTCAGTGGGTTCCCTTTTCATTTTGATAGTGCTTTCTTTTGCTGTTCAGAATCTTTTTATTTTGATGTAGTCCCATTTGTTTATTTTCTCCTTAGTTTTCCTTTGCCCTAGGACAGTGGTTCTCAACCTTCCTAATACCGCGACCCTTTAATACAGTTCCTCATGTTGTGGTGACCCCCAATTTCATTGTTACAAATTGAACATAATTAAAGCATAGTGATTAATCACAAAAACAATATGTAATATATATGTTTTCCAAAGGGGTCGCGATCCACAGGTTGAGAACCGCCGCCCTAGGAGATGTGTCGTCAGATATTATGCTACTTGAGATGTCTGAGATTTTACCACCTATGTTTTCTTCTAAGATTTTTATGGTTTCATGACTTACATTTAAGTCTTTTATCCATTTTGAGTTTATTCTTGGGTGTGGTGTAAGTTGGTGGTCTAGTTTCATCGTTTGCATGTGGCTGTCCAATTTTCCCAACACCATTTGTTGAAGAGACTATCTTTACTCCATTGTACGTTCTTGCCTCCTTTGTCAAATATTAATTGACCGTAATGGTGTGGGTCATTTTCTGAGGGGGTCTCTGTTCTGATCCATTGCTCTATATACCTGTTCTTGTGCCAGTACCGGGCTGTTTTGGTTACAATGGCTTTGTAGTATAGTTTGATATCTGGTATTGTGATCATTCCAACTTTGTTATTCTTTCTTAAGTTTGCTGCAGCTATTCAGGGTCCTTTATGGTTCCATATAAAGTTTTGGAATATTTGTTCTAGTTCTGTGAAGTATGCCATTGTTATTTTAATAGATTGAGTTGAATCTATAGATTGCTTTGGGTAGTATAAACATTTTGATGATGTTAATTCTTCCAATCCATGAACATGGTATATGTTTCCATTTGTTTGTATCTTCCTCTATTTCTTTATCCAATGTCCTATAGTTTTCCAAGTACAGGTCTTTTACCTCCTTGTTTAAATTTATTCCTTGGTATCTTATTTTTGTTGTTGCAATGGTATATGAGATTTTTTTTAAGTTTCTCTTTCTGAGGGTTCATTATTGGTGTATAAAAATGCCATTGTAGCCCTAACCGGTTTGGCTCAGTGGATAGAGCGTCGGCCTGCAGACTGAAAGGTTCCACGTTCGATTCTGGTCAAGGGCATGTACCTTGGTTGCGGCCACATCCCCAGTAGGAGGTGTGCAGGAGGCAGCTGATTGATGTTTCTCTCTCATCATTGTTTCTAACTCTCTATCCCTCTCCCTTCTTCTCTGTAAAAAATCAATAAAATATATTAAAAAAGTAAAAATGCCATTGTATCCTGCTACCTTGCCGAATTCATT